CAAGGTAGTCAGAGAAGCTAGAGTTTGTAGGACAGAGTGATACACGAAGAACAAACTTCAAGTGCTTATAAAGCCTGACCCTCTGCTGAATAAGTGTATGAGGAACCTGCCAGAGCCTGGGGAAAGAACCACCTGAAAGGATTTAAGAAGCACCCCAGAGCTCACACAAGGTAGGGAATAACACCCATTCTAAACATCCAAACTTATGCGGCATTTGGTAGAAACACTAAGCCAAAAACTGAACTCCTCCTCTCTGAAGAGTTTTGCCTTAGGAGTATGGGAAGAAAAAATTAGCTTTAAGCCAAATGTAGCTCTGGTTGATCTGACACAGTTTAAAAGCAAGACTTGAAAGGATTCAACCTCTTCCGGCCACTTATACCAGAAAAAAGCTCAAAAGTATTTATAGAAACCCAAAAATATACGGTTCCTAACAAGGCAAAATTCAGAATAAAGATCCAATCAAAATTCTTCAAGCAGGCTGGGGATTTAGCTCAGTGGCCTAAGCACCTGCCTGGCAAGTGCAAGGTGGTTTCAATCCCCGGTACCAAAAAACAAACAAAAAATTTGCTTGTCTGTTTGTTCTAGAGAACAAACGTAGGGCTTCAAGCATGTCAGGCAAATACTTGACCATTTAGCTACATCTTCAGCCCGATTCTATTACTTCTACAAAATGTCTTGGGGTTTACTGAAATCTTAAATTTCCCTAAAAACAAAAAAACTGTCATCTTTGTCATTTTCACCATGTGTGCTAATTTCAAAATTCCTCCTCCACAGGACTGAACTGCTATTCCCCATGTGAAATATTAAGCACTTCTAAGGCAAGCAGCATGGCAACAAAAAGCACAAAAACCACAGAAAAATCAAGACCTCGATTTTTTTCTTCTCAGCTTATCTCTGTGTTCCAAAAAAGTCACTAAACCTGAGTTTCAATTCGCTTATCTACTAAAATGAGTGTAACATTTGCTTCACAGGGCTGCTACAAACAAACCAAACCAAATAATAGTAGCTACCATTTCATAGTTCACATCATCATAAGAAAAGCTATCAGACCACATACTCAAACACTTTCTAAATACCTATTCATTTACCAGGTAGTACATAGGCACTTGGAATATGAAAGAAAAAACAAACACTATTGAGAGGCTCTAAAGGATATCTTACGTTGAACCTATATTTAAAAGTTCGCTCAAGTACAAACTTCATATTCTATTTCTTAATTTCTAAGTAGGGCAATTATTTTAAGTTCCTCCTATAAAAATTAAAGGATGATTTTCTTTTCCCCTTTGAAAGAAAAAATAATCTAAGAAGCTGTCAGGTTCAACCAATTAGGACATGTCTGAGAAATACTTGGAATCTGAAAAACACAGTAAAACCTTAATTTAAAAGCAACCTGCAATTAACATCACCTTTCAAAATTATTCTCAAATTAGTAGACTAAATGATATTCAGACATAAAATGGACCAATCTGTTATTATGGTAATCTTTTCAGAAAGGCTGTGCCACCAGATGTAAGGAACTAAAATCAAGTTCAAGTTTGGATTTCATTTGCTCATCCATTTACATGACAGATGGTTTAAATATTAACCCCATTAATAAAATGTTTGCATATTCATTATAAGTCTGATTAACTTACATCATAACTTCATAAATTTATTGTGTTAATTTTGCTACCTTTCATTTTGCTGCCCATTTCATTTAAGACCTTCTCAGTGTGTGGTCCCCAAACAGCATGTATGTTGACTGGGAGCTTATCAGAAATGCAGAATCCCACAGACAACACCAAATCTACCCAACTAAGTCAGAATCTACACAACTGACAAAATCCCCAGATTTCTATGCATATTAAAGTCTGAGTAGCATAGCTATAAAATGTCACTTTTCCCCCACTTTTATTATTTCTTCTTTGCTGTTACAAAACATTTATTTACTTCCTAATTAATTTCTCTCCAGATACTGCATTTAATGAGAATAACTCAATTCAGAGAACTGAATCAGTATATGTATATTATATTACGTATAGTCTTTATGTCTCAGATCTGACTTTTCTTCCCAACCAGGATTTCAAGTCTTAGAAGTCTTGTAATTGTACTCATTTTTTTTCCTCTTGGGTTGACATTTTTGTCTCAGCATATGGCCACAATGATAAAAGTCTTCTAATTAAGCAACTATAAGTACAGAACAGATTCTATAATTTCAGAAAAAATTCAAAATAGATTTATACAAGGTTGAACTTGAAAGTTCCCTAGAGAAAAAAAAAAAACTACCAGAATGACTTTATCCTTCACCATGATATATTTTTGTGCTTAACCTAACATATTTTTACTGCAGGAACCACATCTTTTTTAAAATAAGAAATTCACATGGGACTTAGAGAGTACAGTTCTTTAGATGGCTCATCTTTTATTATTATTAGTATTGCACAATAGTTCCAGTGCTCATAAAATAGAACAAATCTTACTTCTCTCACTTTAAAAAAAAAAAAAAAACTGATCACAGCAGGCAGGATGGTTCAGCACAGATTCAAAGGAAGGTACAAATGCTCAGTTTTCAAAAGCTCTGCAAAAGCCAACCTCATCTCTTGTCACTGTGGCCATGGCTTTTTGCCAAACATTTGAAAACTGTTGAAAAGTGCTGTTCCCTGTAAGCAATTATAAGAAGCTTTGCAAAAAAGAAAGAAAGTATAACAACAATCAACTGCTTAAGATGGTCAAATACCCATAGTCCCTGCACTATAATACAACATGAAGAGTTATCTGGCTACACTTGAGCCAGTGTAGCCAACACAGATCCCCCTGGTAAAAGGGCTTAAAGAGTGTTATCAAGAGACCAATTGGACAGGCTTCACAATTTTAGTATGTCCTCAAACATCCCTATTTTTATAAAGATCTCATTACAGAGCCATCATCTTTGAATTTCACTCTTTTTTACCCCATTCTGTATTTTCAGTTCATATAATTTCTTAGGATACCGAATTCCACAAAAGCATAACGAGATATTTAATATTTTTTGAACTGACCTTAAATATATTGATTTCAAGCTTTAAAGAGTGTCCTCTAATTTCCAGAATGTGATGAATAATTCACTGCCAAACCTCTTAGAACTGTCCACACACTTGGCTCCTCTCCTCCCTTTATCAGTCACTCTTCAGCCCACTCCTGACTTCTATCCTCTCTACTCCACGGCAGCCTGTCTTGGTAAAGACCATCAAGGACCCTCATGCTGCTAAAAACAATGAGCACCCTTTAGTCATTATCTTTCCTTAGCTTACAGTTTATTCCACAACTTATCAACTCTCCCTTTTGAAATAACTCTTGCTAACATTGATGTTCCTTCATTCTCCTCAGGTCTTCCTAACTCTCTAACCCTTTGGGGACTCTGGCCCTTCTCTCTGACCTACAGAGGTTAGATTACTTTGGGGCACAGTGCTGTAATCTCATCAAACCCCAGGACTGTATCACTATTATACTGCTGACTCACACCTTTATATCTTCTCCCTAGATCTAACTTGAGTTATATAACAATATACCATACTGTCTATTCAGTGTCTCTATGTGAATGCTTCACAAACATTTTAACTCAATGTTCCCTCAACTCGTGTCTTAGATCTTTCCCTTACTTTCTCTTCCAGTGTTTTCCATTTTACAATCATGATCCTAATTGCTCATTTACTCTTACTACACATATCCAATCAATCACCAAGCTTTGTAATTTTGAGTCTCCAAAATATATACCAAGTTTCCCCATCTCTACTATCATCCTTTCATGTCATCTCTGGCTTACAACATTGCAAAAGTGTTTTTAGTGACTTTTCCAAACCCACTCATACTCTTCCAAATCCATCTACACACCTCAGAGTGATACTTTTACAGATGAAAAGTGCTCTTGCTTAGAACTTTTCAATGGTATCCCACTGGTTTTTAGATAATGTTTATAAGGCACCAACTATCTCCAGCCAGATCTAATTCATGCTATCATTTCTTTTGTTTTCTAAGCTCCTCTATATTATACATGTGGAATTTCAGGGTGTGGGTCCCTTCTGCACGTTGTCTTTTACCTAGAATATTCTTTCTTTTACTCTTCTATCTACTGCTGTGTAAAACACAAACAAAAGTGCATGTGTGTGTGTGTAGAACCCCAAAACTACAGGGTCTACACCCAATAGTCAAATCAGACCAAAAGGACTGAATGTTAAAACACACCACCAAAACAACAGAATAACAGCAACCCCTTATATAACTTACCAAGTCCTACATGTGATAGATATATATTACTGATTCAGTGCTCAAAAGAATCCTATGAAGTAGGATTGTTTGCTCTATTTATAAATATCTATTTTACCTGTATTAAATTTGGGATGATAGTAAGATATTTCTACTTTATGATAAGGTACTTAGAGGTTAAGCGAGTGAAGATCAAAATTCAGAGGCAAAACTAGAATCCAGGAGCTGGCAATGCAGTTCGCTTAGTGGCAGAGCAAATTAGCACTTTGGGGCTCAAATTCAATCCCCAACACTTGCACAAATAAAAAACTTGAATTCAAATTTAGTCCTGTCTGAGTGCTGGACTGTCAAAGAGCATGACCATTTGGTGGATTTAATCGTTCCTTCCAGAATTCACATTGTTATTTGGGTAGATACGATATTCTCTACTAAAAGGTAAGGATTATTCGTATCTTGCTCATTGTTATATTCCTAGCACTTTGAATCACATATTTGATGCTCAATGTTTACTGAATACCTGTATATAAATGTTGACCATTCCCTTGCACAATTATTTTAAGAATGTAATAGGCTCTAATTATGCCTTCTATACACACACACACACACACACACACACATCCATCTCCTGTGTTAACTGCACGCCTGTCTTGTCTTCGACAAGCCTGTCAGTGGGTCACTTAATGTTTCCTCCTGTCCTCGTGGCAGCGAGACGCTGGCCGGTCTTCCCTCATTCCCTAGGGTATGCGAGTCTGGTGGTCTTTCCTGCCCCCAGGCCTCACCTTCCATGTAGGGGAAGGCGCTGCCCCAGCTTCAGCACCAGATCCAGTCAGCTCTCCAGTCCCGGACAGCATGAAACGGCCATAGCGCTGTAAAGGCCATTCAGTCGCTTCTCTTCGCAGAACTCCGAGGCTCGTGGCCACCTTTCCCGCTTCCGCCATGTCGGTCTGCCCCCTCGCTCAGCCTGCTGGGAGCCATCAATCTTCGAAGCTGGCCAATCAAGAGCCAAAATAACTCAAGGCCCACCCTCCTCCTTCAGTGAAGCCAATGGGCAGGCCGGGAATGTTCCTGCAGGGGGCGCTTCTGGCTTGGTCTCTAATGACCCTGGGCACCCAATGATCGTGATCTCCACTTAGGCCTTGAAGAGGGGTTTCACGTTTATAAATGGCAGTAGCTTTCTGCTCTGCAGCACTGGGACCCTCACTTTCCCTTGAGCTGCCCAAGCTGTCTGTTGTTCAGCATCTCTGACTTGAGAAATTTACCAAATGACTAATTCCCCGGAAGTTCCACACCCAGAGCCTACAATAGTTCTGGGGACTTCTTGCTGCGGCCTTTCAGATGACAACTCAAATATATCACTGTTCGGCACCAGTTCCACGTGGCTTCGTTCTCATCATCCTGCCCCCATGCACAGTCTCTCCACACCACCAATTTTTCACCACATGGGGAAACAGATGGGTAGGGGGCTGCTAGCAAGTGCATCAAGCAGCAGGTCCAAGTAACTAAAAGAAGTTGATGAGTGATTTATAGTTGATAAAGCTCTTCCACATCTGTTATTTCTTTTATCTTCCCAACAACCTTGTGGTAAATTTAAGAGGAAAAAAAGTTTTATTACACTGATGGAATATCTGTAGGCAAAATAAGGTGCAAAGAGTAGATGTGTAACCTTGCCTAAGGTTACACAGCCAGTGAACCACAGAGCCAGAGTAGAACTGTGAACGGCTCCACAACCATGTGTCAGCCCCACCTCCAAAGTATTTAGGTATTCATAAAGTTTGTGTAAAGTCAAAAGCAAAGTAAACAGAATGTGGAGGCTACCTTAACTAAATATATAAAATCGTATTAAAATGCAAACAATTTTTTAAACTACACATCAAAGGATATTATATGTATAGATGATGCTTGGAAAGATAATAACTTATCCTACAAATCATCAAATATCTAGAAAGTGCAAGTAATTATGCAAGTCAGCATCTGGTAACAGAGATGGGTAATGCATATGTCTAAACTCTGGGAATTAAGGATCTAATAATATAAAGCAAGATACAAATATACTCAGGATACCTGACAGGTAATGACATGAGATCTAAAGTTGCAGATAAAGTGAAAATCTACCAACAGGGAGAGCATTTGAGTTAGGACCTGAAGGGTGAGGAAGCTTCCCAAGGGAAGGCAAAGGAAACTGGCATTGCATGTGGAGGGGAAACTGAGGAGCAGAATATTTAGGATGAGGAAAATGACAACACTAGCAAGAATGTGAAGTTTTCTTATTTGTTGCTGGTGCTGGGGATTAAACCCAGTGCCTCGTACATATTAGGTACACAGTCTACTACTGAGCTACATTCCCATCCTCTGAAGTTGGTTTTTAAAGAAGATAAGGCTACAAAGGTGAGCAGGAGCAAAAGAGCATTGAACAGCAGCGAAGGAGCATGGATTTTATTTAGGAGGTGGTAAGGAAATGTGGAAAATGTGCACAGGTATTGATACCATCCTAGTGGTGGCTCACCAAGGTTTGCTTCTCAGGACACTTGGGACAAACTGGATTAAAGGCAAGAGGGATTTGCTACATTATCTTTTCATTAGTCCAGTAAAGTTTACTGAAGGAATCAGAACTCAGAAACAACTTCTGAAGTTGTTAAATGGCACAGCACTACTGCACTTAATACAGTAGTAAATGGTTAAAAGTTTGATTTGAATCCCAGGTCTGTCACTTGCCAGCTGTGTGATCTTGAGGAAGTCACTTAACCTGAATATAGGGTTTTGAAATGACTATTTTCCAGGGTCATTAAAATGATAAAAATATAACATGTGTAGAAAAACCCCTATTAAACTTCAAAGTGGTACCCACATTGGTATTTTCTGTTTCCAGGGTTAAAGTGACTTTCCATGGGCTGGTTACAAAGAGGGAGGATGGTAACAAGAGCCTGACCTTGGGTCTCAGAGGCACTCACCTTCCAGGTCCAGGGCTGCAGCTGCTGTCAAACACCCTTCACAGGAACAGATGGTACTCACAGTTGGGACCCTGTCAGTGCCCAAGGACACCCAGGGCCCTGCTGGGTTCCCACCTGCAAGCTTCCTTTCTAGACAACGGCACCTGCATTAGAGCTGGGGCCACCAGTGTCTGCCAAGAACAGGTCATGTCTGCAGAGGGAGCTATGAGAAAGCCACAGCTCAATGCATGAGACTCATGTATTTATAATATTAATGATACTCAGTGGGGCCCAACAGCATATGAGGTGCTGGGATTACTTACGGAGAACAAAACAAGATCTGCCTTCTTAAGGCTCACACTCTAACAGCGAGCACAGCATCCAGCAAATTACTTCATGTTTTTTAATGGCCACATGTTTTCTTTTAAAAAGCAAAGCTATAATATTTATTAAGGTTGTTTCATATAATAAAAAGCATAAATGTCAAATGTTCAATTAGGTAAATTTTGATACCTAATCCATTCATGTAACAGCCATCCAAAACAAGATACAAAATATTTTCCCCAAACCCCTTGTAAGTGCCTCCTTCCAGTTAATTTCAATCCCACAAGGGTAACTCCTGGCCTCATTTTTGTAAGGATAGCTTAGCTTTCCTGTCCCAGAACTCTATCATGCAGAATGTATCTATATAAATTTTTTAAAATCTATTTCTTTTGCTCGGTGTATTATATTTCAGTTCCAAATATGTTGTATATATCAATACAGTAGTTTGCTTTTATGCGTAAGTAGTGTTCTGTTGTGTGACTGTTTCAAAATTCGCTTGGTTTGCCTTGGTTTTTTTTTTTTTTTCAATGCTGGGACTTGAACCTAGGGCTTTGTACATGCGAGGCAAGCACTTTACTGCTGACCTACATCCCGAGCCCACAATTTGTTTGTTCCTCTCTTGTTGATAGACATTTGAATTGTTTCCCAGTATTTTTCCCCCAAGCTCTTATGAATATTCTGGTACAAGTCTTTTTTGTAGAGATATACTGTCCTTTATCTTCAGTAAGTACCTAGGAATAGAATTTTTGAAGCCTAGAGAGATATATGTTTAACTTTATTTTTTTAAAAATCTGCAATCCTTAATGTTCATACCATTTTACATCCCTATCAGCAAAATATGAGAGTTCCAGCTGTCATCCTTGCTGACATTTGCATTGCTGTCTTTAGTTTTAGCTATTCCAATGGGGCCGTGATGGTTTTTCATTTGCGTGATCTTAATTTGCGTTTTTCTGATGAATACAGTTGAGCCCCATTTGTATATCTTATGCCTTGAAATGTCTTTTTAAAGCTTTTGCCATTATTAATTTGTAGGAGTTCTTCCTATCTTCTAGATACCAGTCCTTTGTTAGATAGGTATAATGAAAATATTTTCCAAGTCTGTGATTTGCCTTTCCATTTTCTTAACAATGTTTTGCAAAGAGCAAACATATTTCATTCTGATGATGGGCTTCCTTAATTGTTCAGGTGCTTTTTTAAAAAAGCATATTTTGTATCTACTTTAGAAAACCTTAAAGTTGCATACATATTCTCTTACTGCTTTCTTCTAGAAACACTGTGGTTCCAAATTTTCTACCTAGCTTTGATCACCCTTGCATTAAATTGTATGAAATGAGTTAGGAACTGAGGCTTATTTTTCCCACAGAGATATTCAGTTGTTTTTCAGGTGCATCCCTCAACTATTGATCACTAGAAACTAATGTATAAAAACCCTAGCTCACTCAGACCTCAAGTGAGATAACTCTGAGATTTGTGTCCTATCCTGTTTCCCAGAGTTCCCCAGTGGGATTAAGCTTCAATTAGAATGATTCTTTTTGGGCTAACTTACCTTGTCCCTCTCCCCTAGCACTGTGTCCTAGGACCAACCTTCAAATAAATTACTTGCACTTGAAACTTTGTTTCAGGGTCTGCTTTTGGGAAAACACAAACTAAGATGGCAAGAAGCAAGACCCACAGTCCCCACCATCATGTCTTTTGTTTTAATAAAGATACATACAAGCAGATAGTATAAGAGGCATTGAGGGGAGGAAGATGTCATTGTCACATCCAAAGAAGACTCTCTCCTGCTGATAGAGAGCAGAACAACAGCATTCATGGTCCAACCCAATGAATGACAGGTCATGATGGGTTAACATATCCTCCTCTTAGGAGACTGTTGCCAGGTAGAAAAACCCAACTTCTGAAGTTTAAAGAAAAAAATCTTTTTATTACAGTGAAGATCCTCCCTTTTCCTGTGAGTCTCTATTTTGCAATTGAGTAGTGAGCATCATTCTTGGAGACATGTACAGAACTTATTTTGGAATCCTAGCTTTCCCCTTTTAAGTTCAACCAGGGACTCTAGGTATCCCTTATTCATAGGAATACGGAGTTAGCAAAAGAAATGATGACCTCAGTTTCCTTGGGTTCTCTAGTTGAGAGGATGACAGAGAGAAATCCACACCTTTGCTTTGTCTGCCAGGTCCCTCAGCAACAGCACACAGAGTGGCTGGAAACTGCAGAGCGTGGTCGGTGGCTGCGGGGTTTCCAGAAAAGCCTCATTCACGTCAAGGAAGCAGATGAGCTGTCTCTATAATGTCAGGCCTGGTCTCTCTCTAGCCCTCAGAAACTACCAGTTAGCTTCTGTTTCTATGAATTTGTCTACTCTGGATGTCTCATGTCAAAGGAATTATATGAATGACCTTTGGCTTATTTTTCTTAGCATTAAGGTTTGCAAGTTTCACCTGTATTATAGTATGAATCAGTCCCCCCCCCCCAGTACTGAGGATTGAATCCAGGGCCTTCACACTGACCTACACCCACAGGCCTTTTTTAAATTTTCAGACAAGGTGTCTGAACTATGTCACTTACTTTCCCAGTCTGAGGTTGAACTCATGTTCCTCTGCCTCAGCCTCCCAGAGTGCTGGGATTATAGGCATGCACCACTGTGCCCAGCTTATACACCTTTTTTTTTAAGTGAATGACTAGTATTTTGATATACAGATATACTACATGTTATTTACAAATTCCTCTGTTGAGAGACATTTGGGTAGTTTCCATTTGGGTAGAGACTTATGAACCTTTTATTTATTTATTTTTTCAGGATAAAAGTGGCTTTGCCATTCTCTGATGAAAAAAGCACTGCAGATTCCAGGCATCATCAGTACGGTTACCTTCGCTCCTTAACCAGTTCTATCTCCCAACACAGAGGAAGGATAAATTGATCAAATATATGAAAAAGAACCAAAGAGAGATACCTGTGATTGAAGACTGGGCAAGTATCTCTGAAACCAGCAAGTCACAGCTGTGGTTGGAAATGCTGAAACACGGGTGTAACCCCAGCACTTTGGGAAGCTGACTCAGGAACACTGCAGTATTATAGTCTTGCAGTACTGCAACAAGAAGGAAAGAGCGAGAAACAGAGACAGAGACAGAAACAGAGAGAGACAGAGAGATAGAGAGTCAGAGACAGAGAATGATTGAGAGTCACAGCTGTTAATAAAGAGGAAGTCAAG